TACTGGCAAACACTCTGGCAGGGAAGTGTCAGCCTCCTCCTCCTTAAATAGGGCTCCTGATGAGCAGATGGGAAACAGGTGTCGAAGTCAGCTCATTTCCTCAGGAGAGATCTTGTGCGCCCTCTGGTGGAGAAAGTAGACAAGCCTCCAGATCCCAACACTATGATTGTGAAAGGTCGGTTGTTAAAGGGGAGATTGCCTTTAAGGGGGGGATTGTCACCTGTAATACCTGAAACCTGTCTATGATTGTGAAAGGTCGGTCGTTAAAGGGGGGGTTGTTCACCTGTCTGAAGAGCGGAGATACTCTGTTCCCCTGTGATGGGGTGGGGGTTGTGATGATACCTGGAAGGAATCAACTTAATAACTGAATTGTACGTTTTTGGAAGCCGGAATCTGAGTCCACCACCTCTGTTTCAAGTTGTTTTTTTTCTCTCTTAGCATAAATGGCTTCCTTCACACCCCTCTCAAACCACCTATTTTCTTTATCCAAAATGTGAACATTCTGGTCCTCAAAACAATTTCCTTTGTCCACAAGGTGTAGATGTATGTCCAGAGGAGGCCGCTCTTCTGTGTTGGCCCCTGCATCTGTGGAGAGGTTGTTTGGTTTCTCTAATATAGAGATCAGAGCATTACTCGCTGCATTGAACAGCATACACCACTCCGTTCATATTGAGTCTGGGGGTTTTATCTTTGGGATGCACTAGCCTCTGTTTAAGGGTTTTGTTTGGTTTGAAATGTACCGGGATTTTGTGTTTGGAGAAAAAATGGCATTGTGATGTTTTTGTGTTTAATTTTCTCACTGCTATATTCTGCTGTGTGTCTTTTGAATTTCCTTGCTGATTTGATAAACGCCCAGTTTGGGTATCCACAGGTTTGGAGAGCATCTTTGATGTGTTTCTGTTCTTTATACTTTCATTCTGTTTTAGGAGGGACATGTTCTGCCCAGTGTTGTAAGGATCTGATGACTGAAAGTTTGTGTTCCTGTCATGTTGAGGTCTAGCGTCTAACCCACATGCAGAAACACTCTTCAGACAGGGAAAAAGTTAAATGGTTTATTTACAATGTTTACAGAGAAATGTGAACGGGTTCTTGGCTCGGCAGGCTGGTCACGGGAGGGAAGCACTAGAGGAGGACAGATCTGTTAGAGTGGATCCAGGAAACTTGCAGTTCAACGGTGACTTGGATTAATACCTGCTCAGAGGGTATTCAGATCAGCAGGGGGGAAACCTTGTGGGTCCAGAGGCTGTCGGCAGGCTGAGGGCTAAGGACAGAGGCAGAGACTGAGGCGGAGGACAGACAGGCAGGTTCCAGGAAGTGATTGTTTTCTCCAGGTTTAGGCAGATCTCCAGATAAGTCCGGATCTTAGAGGCAGAAGAACACAGGGTCAGACTTGTTCACAAAAATCAGATAATAGATCAGAAAGGCTGGCTCAGGTTTTGCTGGTACCATTACTGGCAAAGACTCTGGCAGGGAGGTGTCATCGTCCTCCTCCTTATGAAGGGCTCATGATGAGCAGATGGAAAACATGTGTGTCGAAGTCAGCTCATGCCCTCAGGAGGAAGATCTCAGGCGCCCTCTGGTGGAGAAAGTTAGACAAGCCTCCAGATCCCAACAGTTCCAGTGGGTGGTGTGAGTCATGAAAAAAATACTGGTCTGTGTGAGTGAGTTTCCTATACACTTCAATGTTTAGGCTTCCATCTCCTTTCATGCTCAACAAACAGTCCAGAAACGGTAGTTTATTGTGCCATCCTTAAATGTTTGACTTTGTTGGCAAAGTCTTGGAAGTTTTCTATGTGATGTAGTGTGTTTCCCACCAAAGGGCCTAAGACATTAGTAAGCTGTTTAGTAATGTTGTATGATACTGAGTTAATGCTGCTGACAATGGGGGTCCATATAAGTATGGCATTTCCTCCCCTGGATATAATCTGAAATAGACTGTACTGTTAATTACCTTGTCTTTTTAAAGTTGTTTGAGAGTCTATTATTTTCTTTTTGTAGGCGTTGGTTGGATCTCTTTTCAAGGATTAATACGTGTTAGTGTCATTCAGTAGAGTAATAATTTTGTCCTGGTAGTCTGAGGTGTTGAGGACCACGGTAGATCTTTATTTGTCTGCTGGTAATATGGTGATGCGTTGGTCCTGGCTAAGGGATGTTATGGCTTTTCATTTCCTGTGAGGTTGGAAGGAGGTGGTTTGGCACTGGACATGGTAGTTGTTACCTTCGTTCTGAGTTGCTCTGCCTCTGTTTCAGCCAGGTTATTATTCCTGATGGCCGGTTCTGTGGCAGTGATCAGTTCCACCATGGGTACTTCTTGTGGAAAATTGGCAAAATTCAGGCCTTTACTCAGTACATCCATCTCTGGTTTTGTCAGAAGTCCGTTAGACAGGTTTTTAACCCACTTGTCCTGGACCTCGAAAGGCATTTCAAGGGAGGGCAAGCTAAATATGCAGCCGATCACAAAGCTGGGAGGGGAGAAAAAGTGTGTAATTAGAACTTCTGGATAAATTAGTGGAGAGCAAAGATCGATTGAAGAAGTGGATTGAATCTCCAAACTCCACTACTGCTGCTAGTTTGGTTGCAAGGATGGAAAACTGTCCACAGATCAAACAGGTAGCGCTCTGATGCAGGGATGGGTACTTTCTTCCATTTTTTCCCCAAATACTAAAAATCTAGATCAAACCAAGGAACGCTGGTGACGGAGGATGTGGGATTTCAGGGTTAGAGGCCAACGCTCTGATGGATATCAGTTCCTGCTTGGTTCCTCGTGACTCAATCAACTCTTCTCAACAGAAACATGTCCACCGTAGAAAGATTCCATTATACCATTGTTACGGCCCCTGGCCTTTTAGGACATGCAGGCTTTTCTTATGCAGGTTCAGCTCTGACAGATCTTCCTTGTTGGCTGCCTGAGGACTGCGGAGGAGCAGTGACATGATTGGACCAGCCTAAGATTGTCAAGCCAATCAGAATGTTGATGAGGCCCACCTGCACCTCATAAAAGGATCCTGGAAAGCTTTCAGTTTGGGGACAGCTTGTAGGAAGGTTTTGTTAAGCTGTTCCCCCACCTTTGTTTTCAATCTGTTTTAGGAAGATAGAACTGTTTGCCCTAGCTTGTATATATTTTCCTTAATCTGCTTTAGGTGGACTTGTTCAAGTTAGTAGCTTGTGTTTGGGAGGTTTGGTGCTCCCTTTGTCTTTTCTTTTGGGTTGTTTTGTGTTAAAACTTGGTCTGACTGGTTTGGGCAGTTTGTAATTTTATTTGCTCTTAACCATTCTTGAATTTGTTTGCCCATATCTTTTTTTGTGTTGTTTCAATTGGTTTAAGCTGTATTGTGTTTTGGGTCTGTTCAACCATCTTTTGTAATAAAAATTTTTTACCATCCCCCAAACTGCTCTGGACACACTATTGATGTTACCTCCCCAAGACCTCTAGACCTTGGGGGAGTAACAACCATTTATAGAGTTTAAGGAACTCATTATTCTACTTGAAATGTCATTTCATTTTTGTACCTGGTTTCAGGAATCATTTATTTCCAGTATTTAAGAACATGCCTAATATTTAATGTTTAATTTAATCGTGCTGTTGCTATAAAGAATAACACTTTTACGTTAAAAACACTGCATAATAGTTTATTTATTTTATTACCTTTATTGATACTAGACAATGCCAGTCATGGTGGTTAGAGGGTCCGGTGGAGCCTGTGTACGGCAGCCTCACTTCTGTCATCTAATATGAACTACAATGTAGTTTGCCACCATCAGCGTGTGAGTGTGTGCATGAATGCCCGAATAACTGAATGTAGTGTAAAGTCCTTTGGTCAAGTCCTCTGTCTTGAAAAAGCACTTTATAAGTACAGGCCATTTACCAATTTACAGATAAATAAAACTTTAATAAAACAGCACAAGCAGATCTGCAATAAGTTTATAGCAGGTTTGAATGACCTGATCATCTGGCTGTAAATCAGAAAAGCCCCAACATCTAATTTTGCTTAGGGCCCCATAGAGGATAGGCCGGCCCTGGTTAAGTGACAGTGGTGACATGGTTTTTGATATCAGGTATTTATTTGTTTGTCGCAAGCTTTAGAATTTCTTCATGATATAATCTTTTATTTTGACAGCTGCTCAAACTCTTTGTGCATAAGAAAATGGTTGGATACAGGAAATAGCTCTCGGCATTGAAACCTGTGTTAAAAAGAAACATTGTCAGAAATCATTCTTATTCTTTGTTTTTCTACATTCATTCTTGCATCTTTTTCTCTTTATTCAGAGGTTGTTGGTCAATGTCAACGTGACCTTAAAGCATTTCTGAAGAAGGAGTTTGAACGTGTCTCTGAAGGTGTTGCTAAAGCTGGAAAGGAAACATTTCTGGATGAGATCTACACAGAGCTCTACATCACAAAGGGAAAGACTACAGAGCTCAACGATGAACATGAGGTCAGAAGGATTGAAGCAGCATCCTGGAAACAAAACAGACCACGAGAAACAATCAGATCAGAAGAAATCTTCAAATCACCAGAAGGAAGGAATCAAATCAGAACCGTGATGACGATGGGCGTGGCTGGCATTGGGAAAACAGTCTTAACACAGAGGTTCACTCTGGACTGGGCTGAAGGCAGAACCAACCAGAAGATCCAGTTCATATTTCCATTCACCTTCAGACAGCTGAATGTTCTAAAGGAGGAAAAGTTCAGCTTGGTGGAACTGATTCATAAGCACTTTAAGCCAATCAGAGATGCAGGGATCCACAGCTTTGAAAACTTCCAGGTTCTGTTCATCTTAGATGGTCTGGATGAGAGTCGACTTTCTCTCCACCATGATGAGATCCTGACTGATGTTACAGAGTCCACCTCAGTGGATGTTCTGCTGACTAACCTCATCAGGGGGAAACTGCTTCCAAAGGCTCTCCTCTGGATAACCACAAGACCTGCTGCAGCCAATCAGATCCCTCCTGAGTGTGTTGGCATGGTGACAGAGGTCAGAGGGTTCACCGACCCACAGAAGGAGGACTACTTCAGGAAGAGGTTCAGAGATGAAGAGAAGGCAAGCAGGATTATCTCCCACATTAAAAGATTAAAAAGTCTCTTCATTATGTGTCACATTCCCATCTTCTGCTGGATCACTGCTGATGTTCTGGAGGGTTTATTGGAGACCAGAGACGGAGGAGAGCTGCCAAAGACCCTGACTGGGATGTACATCCGCTTCCTGAAGCTTCAGATCGAACGAAAAATGATCAAGTATGATGGAGGACAGAACACAGACTCCCCATGGACTCCAGAGAACATCAAGATTGTTCAGTCTCTGGGAAAACTGGCCTTTGAGCAGCTGCTGGAGGGAAACCTGATCTTCTATAAACCAGACCTGAAAAAGTGTGGCATCAACATCATAGATGCTTCAATGCACTCAGGACTGTTCACTGAGATCTTTAAAGAGGAGAGAGGAATGGAGGACACCTCAGTCTACTCCTTTGTTCATCTGAGCTTCCAGGAGTTTCTGGCTGCAGTCTACATGCTCCACTGCTTCACCAGCAGGAACACAGAGGTGGTGGAGAACTTCCTGGGAGAAAAATACAGAGAAACATCTCTGGAGGACTTCATGAAGAAAGTCATGGAGAAATCCCTCAAGAGTAAAAACGGCCACCTGGACTTGTTTGCTCGCTTCCTTCATGGCCTCTCTGTGGAGTCCAACCACAAACTCTTAGGCTTTCTACTGGGTCAGACGGAGACCAGTCCAGAAATCATCCAGAAAATCATCAACAACCTAAAGGAGATGAACACTGATGAAGATGTATCTCCTGATAGAAGCATCAACATCTTCCATTGTCGTCTGGAGATGCAGGACTTCTCAGTTTATCAGGAGATCCAACAGTTCCTGAAATCAGGGAAGAAGCTCTCAGAAATCCAGTGCTCAGCTCTGGCCTACATGCTGCAGATGTCAGAGCTTCTGGATGAGATAAACCTGGAGAAGTGCAACACATCAGCAGGAGGACGACGTAGACTGGTTCCAGCTGTGAGGAACTGCAGAAAGGCTCGGTGAGTCCAGATGTCTTCATGGGGTGATACTCATTCAGCTCTATTGTCCTCCTGGTTCTTCTTCATGGTTCAGTTCCCTCTGGACGTCTTTGCTCTTTAACTTCTTCCTTCATCCTTTGGACCATTTCAACCATCCAAACATCTCCTTCAGGACAGTTCTGCTTGAGCTTTTGCTGTTTAGATATTGGGATCAAATTTAAGATACTCTACTTTGGATCATTTTCCATCTTCCATTGAAATGAATAGAAAACCTTCAGATTGTAGAAAATCTGTGTTTTCTCTAAAGATCCAATCAGCCAGAGACCCATCAGAACCTTTAAACTCTCTTCACTCATTGGGCTGTTTGCCTAGAAATAACCTTTTTAGTCTCTTTGAATGTTTTTCATAAAATCAATGTTTAGCCTTGATGGAAACTTGGACCATTCAGATCAATCCCTGCATTGCTGCTGTTGTCATGGAGATGAGTTGTTTTGATCCAGAAGCATCTTTTCTTCCTGCCACAGATTTCCCTCTGAGTTAGTCAATTAGAACCAAAATGTGTTGAGTTGTCTGGTTTCAGAAAATGTAATTTCTGTAGGAGTCCTAGTTTCTGTCTGATCCTCCCAAAGCTCTGAGAACTCTGTTTCCAGAGTTTGGAACTATTTTTCTCATCAACACTTCATCTGCAGCCTTTGTTGAAGCTGTTAGATGTCCTCCATAAAGACCTGTAGAGACATGAGCTTTAACCCTTTAGACATTCCAGCCTCTAATTACTGGGAGAACCTTCACTGTTTTCATATGAAAAATGCTGCTTGACCCAAACGCTCTGTCTCCTCCCAGAGGTTTGGGCCTTGATATGGAGAGCAGATGTTCATCAGATGATGACATCACTGTTTGCTCATCATGTTTTAGTCTGTGTTTATTGTCCAGATTGTCTGATTTCATTACAACTGAATTTATTTCTCCTCTCACAGACTTGGTGGCTGTTCTCTCTATGAGGCTGAATGTGAAATTGTGGCCTTATCTCTGAAGTCCAACCTTCACCTTACTGAAGTGATAATCAATCAGATCTATGTGCAGGGAACCTTTAGAGACTCTAGAATGAAGCATCTGTGTGAGATACTGGAGAGTTCAATCTGCAAAGTGAAGAAACTGACGTGAGTTTTCTCTGTTTATTCAAACATCATCAACATCATCAAATATTGAACTTTATTTCCTGTTATTCAAACTTTTAAAATGTTTTCTTGTGATGTAAAAAATAAAATTTGTAGAATTAGTGAAATGATTTTTAGTAATGAAGATTTTTTTGTTTGATTTGGGAAAGATTCAGGCGTTAAGACGAGATAAGATGGCTTTATTTCTCATTTCTTATCCATATCTTTACATCTAGAATGGTGTTTGGTTCCGCTTGAGTAGAGAGAACCTGTCCTCTTTAATCTGACAGCTGTCAGAGAGGGTTGGAGCCATGTCTCTGTGAGCCAATGATGCTTCATCAGCAAACTCATCAGGAACCTTAGAGCTGATTCAGAGTTCCTCCATCTTGGTTCTGATGATCTGATATTACCCAATATTATCTGTGGTAAAGGAGACCTGTGTCCTCACTGCAGCAAACATCTGATCCTCCTCTCCAGCCTCTCCTCTGTGGCTGGTGTCCTTCCTCTGTTGGGATGACTGAATGTCAGCAGGCAGATGGACGGCCTTTAAAACAGAAGCCACAACTTTAGAGCTTAGATGTATGTATATGGATATTATATGTACATATATTATCTGTCTATCTGATGAGAGCAAACTAGCCAGAAGAAAGAAGTTGTGTATCAACTTTGCAATAAAATCTGTGTAATCCTTCATGTTTGCTTTATTACCCTGTGCTGCGTTCAGAGCTCACCAGTTATGATCTTGGAACAAGGTTGTAACAGCCACACACTGTTTTTTCTGTGTGGGCGGAGCTGTAGGAGAAACTGTATCTAATGGGGAATGCAGACTGAATATTACCTGTTCAACTTTTCACTATGCTTCTGTCTTTACAAGCAGTGAGTTTCAGGAAGCTGATTGACAGGTCTGGTATTTACCAGTCACCCTGAGCTGACCCAATCATAATAGTTGCTATGGGAACAAACTTCCAGCAGACTCCATGGCTTCTAGGGTTGTTTTATTGTGAGGTAATGAATTTTAAAAATTAACTGTAGATCACTTTGTGTGTATGATGATGGCGTTTCTAATAGAAATATGGGCTGATATTGATGTCATTATATTGAATTGTTGCACATTACAATGATCAGCATTAAGATTTAATGAATCTCAAAGTAGCAGTTAGAGAGCAACACTTCATCCTAACTATGTCAAACTAAACTCAACAGGCTTTTTATTTTCAGACGGTTTCTTTGGTGAGTCTCTGATGTCAGTCAATCAGTTGTTGGTTGGCAGTAACAGTTGTCCCTGAGGTTTGTTGACACAGTCTCTCTAGGACGGCCTGACTGTGCTGTTGCCATGGTGATTTAGATACAGGGTAACCTTTGCTTCTTTGGCATCATTAAAAGTAGACAGGGTGTCTGCCTCATGGACTAAAACTGGTAGTTGGTTCCACAGGAGAGTAGCTTGATAACTAAAAGATCTGCCTCCCATTCTACATTTAGAAATTCTAGGAACCACTAGCAAACCTGCAGTTTGAGAGCAAAGTGCTCTGTTAGGAACATAAGGAACAATCAGATCTGTGATATAAGATGGAGCTTGGCCATTTAATTCCTTTATATGTGAGAAGGAGGATTTGAAATTCTATTCTGGATTTAACAGGAAGCCAATAAAGAGAAGCTGGGATAGGAGAGATATGATCTCTCTTTTTAATTTTCTTCAGAACTCTGGTTTGCAGCAGCATTTTGGATCAGCTGAAGGCTTTTAACTACAGTGTGTGGACTTCCTGATAGTAAAGAATTACAATAGTCCAGCCTTGAAGTAACAAATGCATGGACTAGTTTCTCAGCATCACCTCTGGAACGGATATTTCTAATTTTTGCAATATTCTGCAGATGAGAGAAGGACATTCTGGAAACCTCTTTGAAATGAGATTTAAATGACAGGTCCTGATCAAAAATAACACCAAGATTTTTTACTTTATTATCTGAAATCAGTTTAATCCCATCCAAATGAAGTGACTGACTAATCAGCTTCTTTTTCAGAGACTCTGGTCCAAAGNTAATCCCATCCAAATGAAGTGACTGACTAATCAGCTTCTTTTTCAGAGACTCTGGTCCAAAGACTATAACTTCTGTTTTGTCTGCATTCAGGAGCAGAAAGTAAAGAGTCATCCAAGTTTTTATGTCTTCAGACATGCCTGTAATCTATGTAATGGATTAGCTTGATCTGGATTTATAGATAGATATAGCTGAGCATCATCAGCACAACAGTGGAAGTTAATCCCATGCTGTCTAATAATTCTACTGATTGGGAGCATATATATAGCAAAGAGAATTGGTCCTAGCACTGATCCCTGTGGTACTCCACAGGCAACCTTGGTGCATGAGGAAGATTTGTCATTTAAGTGAACAAACTGAAATCTCCATATTCTCAATGAAGGTATCATTAAATAAGTTATCATTCTGGGAGATTTAGGTAAAAGTGCTTTTTATTCTTTCCAGAATGAGCAGGAAACAAGGCAGGTATCTGTTCAGACATAAAGTAATGTAACCCGGATAGTAAAACATATATTTTTAAGATTATAAATAGCAAGAATAGGTTCCTTTATTATATCCTTTTATTTTAGTTAATTTAAAGTTCAAATCAAGTTATTATAAATATGTTTGCATTGTTTAAAATAAATTATTTTTATTTTGTGAGGAATTGCCAGTTAATGTTGTATTTTCCTACAGCAGTCTTTGACGGTAGCACGAGTGTGAAGGGAACAAAAGAGAACAGCAGAAGGAGAGAGTTTGGTTGAGTGTTAAAGGAGATAGGAGAGGAGGAGTATGGCAGGCCATTTTAAAATTTATTAGAAGCTCTATTGTTCTATTTTTTGATGTCTAGAATAGATTGTTCATTGTAGAAACTCTATTCCTACCAGCCAGAAATGTCCATATAGATATCCTAAATTACATGTTTGCTAGCTAAAATTACATTTCAGGCTGCCAAAAATATAATTGTATTAGTAAGAATAAACGTTCAAATCTTTATAAATTCGAAGTGGCCCTTATGACATTTATTAGCTTAACATTAAAAATACCAGAGATACAGTAATTATCGTCAGCCTCCAATCCCCCCAACAGTACTTCACAACTCATGAATCACTTTTCAGATGGAAATGCCCAATTAGCGCTGTGGCTGGAGAAACATTCCACCCCCTTCATTTTCGGTTTCAACTAAAGTCTGTTTAGTTGAAACCGAGAAACTGTTTTACCTGAAAGCAGGGGAAAAAACATCATATTTGTAATTAAATATAACCAGGTTTACGTCATCAGTGTCGCCAACACCGCAATGATTTCAGCTAAGCCACCAGCACAGCGATCAGACAATAACTGATCTGTACAATCAAAAATAGCTGCATGACCTGGAACGCTGTAGAAAGCAAGATTATTTATACAATCATGACCATTTATACAATAATGACCATTATTTATTTGGGGGGAAATATAACTCAAGAGATCTCTCCTCTCTCTCTCCTCCGCTGCAGACAAGCAGACAGCATCGTGAGACTGCAGTTAAGTTGGCAAAATATGCACAGATTCAGCTTTTCCGGATTAATAACTTGTCTGAGGATGATTTATTCTACAAAACAGACACCTCCCCGCAATTATCACATTTATTGGATTCAAAAATAACACCTTTCTGAGGAACTTCCAAAAACCTAAATGACAAATGGCACCTCTATTCTATTATTAGAATAAGTATGAAATGAGCAATGACTACACTATAGATCATTGCAGTGCCTCCAAGCTTGTAGGATACACAGATAACCTGTTCTGGATCATACTACAACTCTTACTTTGGGAAGATAGGCCAAACTGTACAGTCATGGCCAAAAGAATTGAGAGTGACACAAATATTATATTTTCACATAATCTGCTGCCCTCTGATTGAATGAATTAACGTAGCAAGGCAGTATTTGCAGTGTTGAGCCGTCTTCTTTAGGACCTCTGCAATTCTCCCTGGCATGCTCTCAATCCACTTCCGGACCAAATCCTGACTGAGAGCTGTCCATTCTTGCAAAATCAATACTTGAATTTTTCAGAATACCTAGGTTTTCATTTGTCCACCCATCTCTTGACGATTTACTGCAAGTTTTCAATGGGATTAAGATTAGGGGAGTTTCTAGGCCATGGACCCAAAATCTCTATGTTTTGTTCCCAGAGCCAGTTAGATATCACCTTTGCTTAATGGCAAGGTGCTCCATCATGCTGGAAAAGACATTGTTCATCACCAAACTGCTCTTGGACAGTTGGGAGAAGTTGCACTCGGAGGACATTCTGGTACCATTCTTTATTCATGGCTGTGTTTTTAGGTCAGACTGTGAGAGAGCCCACTCCCTTGGCTGAGAAGCAACCCCACACATGAAAGGTTTCAGGATGCTTTACAGTTGGCATGAGACAAGACTAGTGGGAGCGCTTACGTCGTCTTCTCCGAACAAGCTGTTTTCCAGATGTCCCAAACAATCCGAAAGGGGATTCATCAGAGAAAATGACTTTACCCCAGTCCTCAGAAGTCCATTCCCTGTACCTTTTGCAGAATATCACTTAGTCCCTTATGTTTTTCCTGGAGAGAAGTGGCTTCTTTACGCCCTCCTTGAGACCAGGCCTTGCTCCAAGAGTCTCTGCCTCACAGTACGTGCAGATGCACTCACACCTACCTTCTTCCATTCCTGAGCAAGCTCTGCACTGCTGGTAGTCCGATCCCGCAGCTGAAACACTTTTAAGAGCCGTCATGGCACTTGCTGGTCTTTCTTGGGTGCCCTGAAGCCTTCTTGGCAACAATGGAACCTCTCTCCTTGAAGTTCTTGATGATGCGATGGATTGTTGACTGAGGTGCAATCTTTCTAGCTGCGATTCTCTTTCCAGTTAGGCCATTTTTGTGCAGTGCAATGATGACTGCACATGTTTCTTTAGAGATAACCATGGATCACAGAAGAGAAACAATGATGCCAAGCACCAGCCTTTTTATGTGTCCAGTGGTG